TTTCTTAGTAAAATAGCAACAATATGTTTTTTTACTAAAATTAGCAACAATACTTTTTTCCCTAACATTAGCAACGATACTTTTTTTTTTACTAAAATTAGTAACAATACTTTTTTTTACCTAAATTAGCAACAATACATTTTTATTAAAAATTAGCAATGATACATTTTTTACTAAAATTACAAACAATACATTTTTTTACTAAAATTACCAGCAATAATTTTTTTAGTAAAATTACCAACAATTCATTTTTTACTAAAATTACCAAGATTAGATTTTTATAGCAAAATGATAATCAATATTCTTAATAGTAAAATTGAAGACATAGCACACATTGTCGCAAAATAAAACTTTTTGCTATGATTAATCTTGTTTGTTTCTTGTAAGGATAAGCACGTTGTCACTCCTGGTTTGATTTTGCAAGATTATTTGGTAAAAAAATATGCAGCTAAAAAATAATGTGATCAGGGAATAATGTCGTTCTCATGAATTAATCATAAAGTATCAATAACCATATTTAGATTTCGGCATTAAATAACCCATAAAGACGTTGATATGCTGCTAAACAAATATAACCAAATCAATAAAAGGCTTAATAGAAAACAAAATAATAATGAACTAAAACTTGAAGAATGACATTTTGAAAAGTACACACACACACACATATGTATGTGTATATATATATATATATATATATATATATATATAAAATGAGTACAGACAATTCTTAAAAATCCATTCAGCTAGAATTTATTTCATGAATATACATATATTCATCTCTTCAGACCAAAGATTTTTTTAATAAATGGAGTCAATTCATCCAGATGAAAGGAAAAAGGAGAGGGAAACTCCATTTATTTTTATTAAAAAAACTTCGGTCTAAAGAGATGAATATTTGTATATTCATGAAATAAATTATAACCGAATGGATTTTTATGGATCATCTGGATTCATGATATTGCTCTGTTACTTACATTGAACTCTCTTTGGATTAATGTCCTCCTTAGAATTATCCCTACTAATTAGCAATTGATATATATATATATATATATATATATATATGATTAGTAAATAAAAGTTTCATGTGTAATACTTTTAATAAATTATTCCCCTGCAGTGCTCGACTTTTGCCTCACCCTGTATAGCAAAGTCTGTTTGTGTGAAACCTGTGTTTGATGTGTTTTTTTTTTAATGTTAGGCCTTGTATGTGATAAACATACTTGTATTTCATCATCAAAGCATTTAATATTTGATCTATTTTTGCATTTAATGTCAGTAAGTACAGAAAATGCTAATTCAAAGAGCTATGATATGGAAAATTGCAATAAAATATTCACTTCTTTACAAGTTCTTGGAGGATATACTTGTTTAAAGGAAATCTCAAATTGATTTACGGACACCTTTTTATGCTTGATTTGTAATGACTGATTTAAATTCCTTGAGGAAGGCAACAGAGAAAGGATTATCCACTCCTTAAAGATTAAGGAATTTAGCATCAAGTTCAAAATATCAAATGACAAAGATTTGACTTGGGTATGGAAGCCAAGTGCTTGGTGTATTTAGGTTTTTAAAAATAAAGTTATTTTAGATATAAAAATCTAAATAAATAAACAGTAAATCCTGTCTGTCCCTCTGTGTGTTTGAACCCACACTCACTCAGGTCACACTTGTTCTACATAGACATATTATACCTTTCTGGAATCAGGATTATTCCAGGGACTGAAAATCTGCCTTTCATCTAGTGCTTGAACATTCAACATTGGGATTTGTGTCTGGATGAGGAGTGAATGATTAAAAATTCAAATTTTAAAAAAACTAAAAAAAATTAGTGATGTTAAAAGTTTTTAATTTATATTGAGTAACATGAAAATTTAAAAATGTTTGTTTTGAATTCAGTTTAAAATATCTCCAAAATTTTGTGAATCAAAGAAATCAATTTTATTTTTTCAAAATGTCAAGGAATTGGAGTTAGTTATAGGTGTCGTGATGTGAGATTTTGAAGTTCCACACAGTTTGTGATTTGAAGAACTCATATTTCAGCCTGAACTGGAATTTAAGCCCAAATCGGATTTTCAGACAAAATTGACCAAAATCTTAGTTAAAGTGAGGTTTTTGGAGTTCTATGGAGTGAACTGAGGAATTCAGAGTTATTTCTTCAAAAATATCATTGCTGTTTTCTAAACTGCACTGGGGTGCAGCTTTCAAGCTAGTAATTAATAAATTACACTTCAGTTGACCCGGGGCACAGCTGGTTATCATTGAGTGCGCTTTAGTTCACCTAGGTGCATTGGTTGAGAAATGCTGATATAGATTATAGACTATTTTTATATGCATTATTAATTTTTTCTTTTCTTTTCTTTCAGCTTTCGCTGAACTACAGACGGATATGACTGAATTAACAAGTGATATGAGTGGCCAAATTTCCATTCCTTTCTGGGATTACAGAACTTACTGTATGAAAGTATTGTTTCCTGGGGATAAGGATCATCCTGTCACTAAGGTAAGCACATCTAAATTTACTTCACTGTCAAATACTTGCTTTATATATATATATATATATATATATATATATATATATATACTAGCAGCATGGCTCGGCATTGCCCGTGCTTGATTCAAAAATCATACGGCTCATACAGCAATCACTATCACTTGACTTAAAATATTTTTGCCCTTCCTTGCCTTTAAAGGAGTGCCCTTTGCCGTGCTGATGTTGCTACATGCCTTACTTCTTGCCTATCTCACACTGCAAATTTTTTTCTAAGCTCTATATTAAACATTAAATCTGTTACGAAAAAAAGAACTAAACAAAATGAACACAAAACGATCAGCTTTAAAAAGGACTCAGAACTGGAAAAACCCGAATGAAAAAAGAATGTTAACAACAAATACTTTTTTACACCCAACCCAGTTCTGCGGAATCAGATTCAACGTTGAGTTTAAGCAAGCGAATGAGCCAATTGGAGTAAAGTGCCATGCAGATTTAATCTTGTGACGAATGCAGATATCAATTTTTTTTTTTTTGCATGCTAGCATGCTAGTTAACATTCGTGTCAGTCAGCTGTTGGCTCTCACACTGGCCAAGAGAATCTTCCTGCATATTCGTGGCAGCCAGCTATTGGCTCTCACTCTGGCCAGTACAAAATGGCCACAAACTACATGAAAACTGCTGTAGAAGCATGAAAAAATCGATTATATCCACTATCGATGGGAGTTGGGAAATGTAAAGTCGGTCTTGGCCTTCCCGCTAACTTGTAGCATGTGCATGTAAATTTTGGTGCAAATCTGTCGAATTCATTACACACACACATACACATCCTGCCTTTTATAGATATATATATATGAAGGAATATACTCTTAAGATGTGCTATATTTATGGGATAAAGTGCTCAATATCAGAGATAGAGCATGTGCAAATATAAAAGTGAACATTGAAGTCAACACTTAGAGGTGCCAGGCTGTTTCAGATGCAATTGTGAGGCCACTAAAAAAATAACATGTAAACTATATATATATATATATATATATATATATATATATATGAATCGAACTTGTATCGTACACAGAACTGTCAGAATTCAGAGTTGTCCTTCAAGGCTATAGAACTCAGTCTGCCTTGCTATTTACTCATAGCTGTGGTGGGGAAGGAGAAGAGGATTCATACCTATCCCAAGGGTATTAGTGTGTAAGTGAATGTAAGGGATTCGACAGGAATTCAAACTCAGCACTCCGATTACTCAATCCGAGCCGCTATCCATTGCGCCACTGTGCCTTATACACATGCACACACGCACACACATTATATATATATATATATATATATATATAGAGTATATGAATGAGCAGATCCCATATTTCTGATGTAATGAATATATATATATAGTACACACTCACACATGCAGGCTGCAAGAAAAAAAATATAACGAGAAAAAAGAAATCGTGACTAAAGTAAAAATTTATTAATAAAAACAAGGGTGAATATATATATATATATATATATATATATATATATATATATATACTATATATATCTTATACATAGCCTGATTTTTACTGATTATGCCACAAAGGAGTGTTTCGGTTAGCAAGGTTCGATTCCTGTCAGAGAATGCATATTCTGACAATTTCTCAGACATTCAGGCCGGTAAATGTTGTTAATACTGTTTAGTGTAAACAGAGCATTTACTTAAATATTTGTATCTATAAAAAATAATGTATAAAAAAGTATGTATAAACATAAAAATGTCTTTAAATAATATATATATATGTGTGTGTGTGTGTTTAGGCAGCAATTCCTCTTTCTTTTTTTTTTTAACTGGATGTATGGGTTTTGGTGTATGTTTAAAAAAAATAAAAAATATCATCTTTAATAATGGCTAAAAGTATAGCTGAAAGCACTCAGAATTACAGAACATTTAGAGACAGTTTATACACACTCTGTGTCCAGAAAAGAAAACACTTGTTCGAAATTAGATAAAAATCTTAATCAGAGGACCTTGTCTGTCATTTTTAATATAATATAGGAATAAAGACAAAAGTAAACTGATCTTAGCTGATATATTTTGTCTTCTGAAAGACAATTATCAAGGCAAATGCTGTAGTTGACAAAATGCATCAGCTCAGATGAGTTTTCCTTTTGTCTTTATTCATATATATATATATATATATATATATATATATATATATATATATATAATAATATTAGTGGTAAATATAAACATACATATGCAAAATATATATATATATATATATACATACATGCATACACATACATATATATTTTTTGAATAAAAAATAATTCCAAGAGGATAGAATCTCGGTAGAACTCAATGTCCAGGACAGAGTAAGGATATAATAAAAAGGCTTAAACACTAACATTCCATGGTTATAATTTATTCTATTGGAATCGTAAATACGATCCAATTCATCAGACCTACAAATTCAAAAATTCTTTTGTTAAGCCTTTTTATTATATATATATATATATATATATATATATATATATATATATATATATTTTAATCACTTTAAACAATATATAATATAGACTTATGGAATAACTACAATGTCTGGTTTATTCATGAGTTTACTGTTCTTGTTTCTTTCATTTTTTTTTTTTCACCAAGAACAACCCCACCCCAGCAGCACTTTAAGTGACGCATATTAGGTGGTAAGGTTAACAAGAACCATTCAACCAAATTCATTCTCGATGAGCCTGCATCCCATAAATGTTGAACAAATTGCATTTACATATAGAGGACTGCCAACCAGTAGGTGGTCATGTCCATCAAGGACAGAAATTGATATATGAATTGAAATGATTATATCGAATCAATTTCTACGTCTCCTTTGAGGAAAGTTGGATCACTGTGTCATGCTAGACATTTTTTACTTACCAGAATCTTTCTTGCACCTCTGTAGGTTTACCATTCCTCAGTGCATTGAATATTGTTGCCACATCTGGTCTGGTGCTTCTGCTATGTATTTAGAGATTCCTGACAGAATCCAAAGATGGATCTGCAATGTTATTGGACCTGACCCATCATCTTGGCTTCACCACTTCCCCATGCAGCTAACCTATGCCTTTCCTAGAAATATTTTTGTGGCATTTTTTTCAAATGAGCATAACATTTATATTCTTTCTATTTAGCTTATGGCAACCTTTAACCTTTGTGCCCATAAAAAACTGTGTGTTAAAAGGACAGGTTTTTCCCTTGACCCCTATCATTATTTTAACTACCCTCAGAAACCTCATCACTTGAGGAATTCCAACAGCAGCGACAACTAAAAATGGATAGCAGATGTAACTCGGAACAAATACACTGAGTCAATAGCTTTGTTCATCGCAAGGAAAGTTGGCTCCCTGAAATTTTTATCACCAGAGTTGATCCTTCAAATCTGCGAATCAACCATTCGCCCTTGCATAGAGTATTACTGCCATATATGGTCTGTAGCCCCCTCTGTTTGTTTCAAGGTCCTTGATAAAATCCAGAGACCGATATGCAATATAATTGGCCCTGATCTGGCATCTTGTCTGCATTCAGTCTCTCACAGACATGTTGTCGCCTCCCTCTATCTTTTTTACAAATACTTTCACAGTAACTGCTCTGATGAGCTGCTTTCTCTGATTCCCAGACTTCATGAATTTAAGCGTTCAACTAGGCTGGCATCTCGCTCTTACCCATTCACTGTCGAAACTGTTAAATGTAGCCGTCTCTTCTACTCCAATAGCTTCATGTCTCGCACCTCTCGCCTGTTTAACTCCCACCCCTTTTCCTGTTTCCCTGATAGCTATAATCTCCAACTATTCAAATGTAATGTCAATTAACGTCTCCAGATGCCTTGATCTATCCACTATCCTTCTCCTCATCCTTTCTTCTATCACTCCTTACTCTCGCTCCAACTCTCTGTAATCTCTTGCATGCTAGTGGCTTCCCGCCTTGCTTGGGGTGAAACGCTTAAAAGAAAAAAAAAAAAAAGAAGAAAATGATATAATCAAGATGTTGACATTCCACACTACTTTAAACAAAAGATGAGGAAGGAAACTCCCATGGATACAGGAAAAAGGGTTAAGAAATGCTTCCTTATAAGAAAATGGCTAATATCATGATTACCATTGGAGATGAGGAGAACAGATACTACATTTTGATCCCAGCTCAGTATCCAGAGACTAAAGAAAAGCATAACTCTAGTCACACAGGCCACTGGATCAATGAATGTGGAATGTTTCCTTATAAGGAAATGCTAATATTAATACTACCATTCTAGTTTCAAAGTCCAGTACATTCTCTCTTGTGCTATATCAGTTTCAATTTTGTTGAAATGGTAATGGCAAGATTAACCATTCCTTCATGAGTTAATGTTATTTAGTACACCAAACGTCAGGAAGTTGTGGAGAGCCATGATCTTCCACATTCTAAAGTTACCTGGCACATAAAAGGAGTAGATGACAGAACAAAGATGGCTGGCAAAGGGTCAATAGTTATTTAGACCTACAAAAGGGAGGAAGTTGTGGAGAGCCTTAGTTGCAGACATCCTGGGGTGACATGGAGGAGTAAATAGATGTCAAAAGAAGAATAAATAAGTATTATAAAAAGTTACACAGCAACAAAAGACAGGAAGATGTGGAGAGCCATGGATGAATTTGCTCTGAAGTGGCATGGGGTAATAAGGACTGTAAAAAGATCTGGACCAACAAAAGACAGGAAGATGTGGAGAGCCATAAACAACCATACCATGAAGTGATATGGCACAGAGAAGAGAAATGTAATGGATGTAAGAACAAGGACAGATAAGGATTGTAAAAAGTCATAGAGCAACAAAAGACAGGAAGATGTGGAGAGCCATGATCACACTCATCCTGAAGTGATATACATAAAAGTGAATGGATGGAAGAACAAGGACCAAATGGGATGGTAATGTGTCCGATGTTATTTAGAGCAACAAAAGTCAGGAAGATGTGGAGAGCTATGACTACATCCTGAAGGGACATGCTCACAT